CAAGATGGGGCACTGGAGTGGTTAAAGGCCAAGCTACAGGAAGATAACCCAAACTGTGCAGCACAGCACCACGTCCTCCAGCCCAGGGACACCTGCGGGGTGTCCCAGAGGACAATGACTACATGTAGTGTTATGACCCTGCTTGAATCTCACTCAGGTTTTAAACCCTGTTTGTCACAGGCTGGGAGGGACCATGCAGAGCAGCATCTACGGTGACATCCGTGGGAAGTGGCAGTCCCCAGACCATGTTCCTGCAGCGGCCCCTGTGGTGTGGGAGTCCCAGGAGGATGCCCTTGTCTACAGAACTTTCCAAACCACCCGTGAGAGCTTTTCTTGTAGTGCTGTGCTCCCTGCAGAGGACACAGAGCACCCACACATCTTCACTGCAAGAGCAGGAGGTTTCCCTTGCAAACCCCCAGCTCTGGCCTCAGGAGCTCTGCCTGCAGGGCTGGCAGGGTCCCAGCCCACACAGGCACAGTCTGGGTGCCACCGAAGGCTCCTGGTGTGCCATGTATCCATGGGGAAAGCGTGAGGCCGATCCCACAGCCACGGCCCTGCTTGTGCAGCTCTCAGACCACCCGGAGGACGGGTGTCCCCTCCTGAAACCCCCCCCTGACCCCTTCCCCACCTCATCCCCACAGGGATCCCCTTTCCTGTCCCCAGAGGTGACTCTGCACAAGGGAGGCTGTTCCCAGCAGCCGCCACAGCCCCGGCTGGGCTCCCTGCACCCCCACAGCCCCGGCTGGGCTCCCTGCACCCCCACAGCCCCGGCTGGGCTCCCTGCACCCCCACAGCCCCGGCTGGGCTCCTGCATCCCCACAGCCCCGGGTGGGCTCCCTGCACCCCCACAGCCCCGGCTGGGCTCCCTGCACCCCCACAGCCCCGGCTGGGCTCCCTGCACCCCCATAGCCCCGGCTGGGCTCCTGCACCCCCACAGCCCCGGCTGGGCTCCCTGCACCCCCATAGCCCCAGCTGGGCTCCTGCATCCCCACAGCCCCGGGTGGGCTCCCTGCATCCCCACAGCCCCGGCTGGGCTCCCTGCACCCCCACAGCCCCGGGTGGGCTCCTGCATCCCCACAGCCCCGGCTGGGCTCCCTGCATCCCCACAGCCCCGGCTGGGCTCCCTGCACCCCCACAGCCCCGGGTGGGCTCCTGCATCCCCACAGCCCCGGCTGGGCTCTGTGCACCCCCACAGCCCCGGCTGGGCTCCATGCATCCCCACAGCCCCGGGTGGGCTCTGTGCACCCCCACAGCCCCGGCTGGGCTCCCTGCACCCCCACAGCCCCGGCTGGGCTCCCTGCATCCCCACAGCCCCGGGTGGGCTCTGTGCACCCCCACAGCCCCGGCTGGGCTCCCTGCACCCCCACAGCCCCAGCTGGGTTCCCTGCACCCCCACAGCCCCGGCTGGGCTCCCTGCACCCCCACAGCCCCATCTCCGCGCTGGGGCGGGGGCACCGGCCGAGCCCCGCGTTTCCCCGTCGGGGCTGCGGCAGCCGCTCTGCCCGAGGGCCGGGGGGCGAAGCGGCGGCGTGGCCAGCGGCGGAGGAAACCTGCGCGCTTCCTCCGGCTCCGGGGAGCCGAGCGGGCAGGGCGCTCTCCCTCGCACGCCTTTCGTTGCGCCGCTGCGCTGGGAAGAAAAGCTCCCGTCTTTCCCACGCTCTCCGACACATTTTAATGAATTAAGTGGGGGCACGCCCCCTCGCCGCCTGCCCCGGATCCGTCCCCCGGCTCTCCGGCTGCCTGCGAGGAGGCCTCGGGGGGTGGCTGGACTCTCGCTGGCCGGGAGGACGGGCACGACCCGCTGCGGCTTTTTGGGAGAGGGCTGCTCCGTGCCCAGCCCAGCGCGCCCAGCCCCGGGGCGGCTCCGAGCCCCCGGCGGTGCCGGTGCCAGCCGGGCCCGCTCCCTCCCGCGGGCTCTCACGGGGAAGTTTGGCCGTCCCGTCTCCTGAGGAGGGGAATTTGTTCCGCGCCTCTCGGCGTGACCGCTCGCTTAAGGCATCGCAGCTCCGGGGCCCTTCCCCGCCTCCCGCCACGTCTCCCCCTCGCCTCAGAAGGGAGCGGGTAAATCACTGCGTGGGACTGCGGGCTTTGCAGGGCCCCATAAAGCGAGGGCAGGGCCTCCCAGCGCCGGCCGCGGCCCCCGACAGCCCCTGACAGCCCCTTCGTGCAGGGAGCCTGGCCCGGCCGTCACACCGCTCCCGGCTCCTCTCCGGTTACAGAGCTGGGTACAAACTGGAGCTGAAACGCAGCTTTTCAAATCTTTTTATTTCCCGTTTTTTCCCTCCCTTGCTTTTTGGCTCTTTCCCATCCCTCTCTGGCCGCGTTCCCAGACCGAGTCCTGCCCCCACCTGCCAGTCCCGAACATTTGCATGGCTGGGTCCCTGCCCGCGCTCTTTTTCTCACCAATGTCACTGGCAAACGCAGATTTGCTTGCAAGGATGTAACTCTGGCCAAGCCCCAGACCGGGGAGGTGTGAGCAATTCCCACTCTCCCACGGCTCGCTCGCAGGGCTCTACACCTCGCAGAATACGGCCAGGAAAGACACAAAATCAGCTGTCCCAGGATATTTAGGAGTAAATAGGAGAGGGCGAGCCAGGCACAGCAGAGCCCCGACACCCAGGCCATCGCACCTACGTCCGGCAAAGCTGCCGCTCGACCCCACTGCCTTCCCTTTGCCAGCTTTGTGGCGATGGCTTTGCTGGGATTGGTGTCCGGGGCTGGTCACGGGCTGCGGTGGCTCCGGCGCTCCCCGCACGCCGTTTGCGCCGCCGGAGCTGCCGTGAGTCACCGTGAGTCACGGCACGTCCCGCCGCCGCACCGGAGACGGGGCAGGGATCGCCGCTGGTGGCTCCGCTGACACCGTGGCCGGGGTGCTGGGGACAGAGCCACCGCCGGCCGCCCGGCTCGGGGCCCTCCGGGGACGGGGCAGAGGCAGCGGCGGCGCCGGTTCGGGTCCTGGGGCAGACCCGGCTCCTGCACGGACCCTCAGAGCTTCGGGCGCCGAGCCCATCGCAGGGCCCCGTGCTGGCGCTGCAGGGGCCCAGCGGAGCAGGGACATCCTGGTAGAAGCTGCACAGGCACAGGAGAGCAGAGGCGGGGTCTGCAGCCCCCAGCAGCAGTAACATTCCAATCCCTCCTATCCCGTGAGAACGATGGACCGCAACACACTCACATTAGAGAGGTGTGACCGGGACAGCTCTGGCCGGAGGAAGCCAAACAGTCAGACAGAGACCAGACAGATGGAATTGGGATAGAGATTGGGATGAGAGGGGCACGGGTGAGAAGATAGGGATGGGTGGATGGGGATTGGATGGGGCTGGGGATGGAGATGGGGATGGGGGTGGGAGTGTGCATGGGCATAGGATGAGGGTGGAGACAAGGACAGGATGGAGATGAGGAGATGGGAACGGAGATGGGGATGGATGTGAAGATGGGAATGGGGATAGGGATGAGAAGAACTAGCTGCAGAAATTGACTTAGAGAAGCAGACTCCTTATGGGAGGAGAATGAGGAGCTGCTTCAACAACTCCTTACAGCCTAAATCCAGGTGGGATGAGAAGGACCCAGATGGGGCAGGAGTGTTCCCAGACTACTCCAGCTGCTGGGAAAAGCCACGGGAACAGGCGGTGGGGCAAGTCACACTCGGAGCTCAAGGCCACTATCCTCCAGCTGTGCAACAGACACTCCGTGATGGCACATTTCATCTGCTGGGGCTGAATTTAGCAGTAGGCCGATTTCTCCCTCTCCCTTCCCAAAAGGACAAGCCAGCAGTGCCAGGTGACAGCAGCTTGCCACCCAGCTGCCCCGGCGCGGCTGCTGTCACCTCGGTTTATGACACGCTCCTTCCTCTCTCCCCGCACCTCCCGCCCTCTCCTGCTGACCAAATGCCCGGCAGGCGGTGGGAGCTGGCCCGGGAGCGCCGCTTCCCACCTGGACCCGCCGTTTGCTCCCGGGGACCAAACGGGAACAGGAGGAGGGTTGGGGGTGGGGGAGGCCAAGAGAGCCCCTCCAGAGGGTCCCCTCAGCATCGTTTTTGGTTGATGCACTGCTTTCGGGATTTTTTTCCCCCACCTTTCCGCTTCCCTGTGGTATCCACAGCTCCCAGCACTCCCGCACCAGGAACATGCTCATCGGGTGGCCGATGAAGCTCCAGGGCTGGCAGTACATGGTGGGGGCTGCATCTTTTCCGCCTTAAATCAATCTCACCCGTGGGTCCCTGAAAGCCCCCCCTGGGAGCCTGCAGAGGCGCTGGACCCCGCGAGCTGAACGCCCTGTTCTGCTCTGGGACCCGTCCCTGTTGGCTCACGGGGACACAAGCCCGCAGCAACGCGGTGTCACCCCAAATCGGGGGTAGCCGCAGCCCCTTGGTGACCGTCATTCTTGCGGGTCCCGACTGGGGGGCCCGAGCCGAGCCGAGCCGAGCCGAGCGGGGCCGAGCCGAGCGGGGCCGAGCCGAGCCGAGCCGAGCCGAGCCGAGCCGAGCCGAGCGGGGCCGGGCCGGGCCGAGCCGAGCCGAGCCGAGCGGGGCCGAGCCGAGCGGGGCCGAGCCGGGCCGAGCCGAGCCGAGCCGAGCCGAGCCGAGCCGAGCCGAGCGGGGCCGGGCAAAGCCGGGGCGGGAGCGCCCCCCATCGCCCCCTCCCTCCCTCGCAGCGCCCGCGCCCGTCCCGCTCACCCCGCGGAGGGGGCGTGGCCTTCCCGTTCTGCCACGCCTCCCGCGCCCGTTCGGGCCAGTAGGCGCTCGGCTGGCGGCCCCGCCCCCGCGGCGCGTCACGGCCGTGCCATTGTTATGCAAATAAAAGGGCGGGTAAAAGGCGCGCGCGGGCCGGGGCGCTGCAGAGCTGCGGGGCGCGGGCAGCGGAGCAGCGAGCGCAGAGCGGCGGGGCCGGGGCGCGGCGGCAGCGGTGGCACCACAGCCCAGCCCCGGCGGCGGCCGCAGCACCGCCCGCCCGCCGCCGCATGCCCGGGCGGGCGCCGCCGTCGCCGTCCATGCGGGGCGGCGGGGCCGAGGCGGCGGCATGAGCCAGAGCGAGGTGTCGCCGTGCGCGGCGCCGCCGCCGCCCCCCAGCCAGCGGGTGTTCCAGGAGGCGGTGCGGCGAGGCAACACCAAGGAGCTGCAGTCGCTGCTGCAGAACATGACGAACTGCGAGTTCAACGTCAACTCCTTCGGGCCCGAGGGCCAGACGGCGCTGCACCAGTCCGTCATCGACGGTAACCTCGAGCTCGTCAAGCTCCTGGTCAAGTTCGGCGCCGACATCCGCCTGGCCAACCGCGACGGCTGGAGCGCCCTGCACATCGCCGCCTTCGGGGGCCACCAGGACATCGTCCTCTACCTGATCACCAAGGCCAAATACTCCGCCGGCGCACGGTGATGCCGGGGCTGCCCCCGCTGCGCTCGCCCGCCACTGCCGGGACCGCCCGCCCGGTGATGCCGGGTGTCCCCCGGCCCGCGCCGCCCCGGCCATGCCGGCCACTCTCCCCGCTCCCCCGGCCGCCAGAGCTGCTCCCGCCCCCGCCCGGGGCGGGTTTGGCGAAGATTTGGGGCCCCACGCAGAACACGCCACATTTTTAAGTTTTTTGTTTGTTTGTTTGTTTGTTTGTTTTTAATCTTCCAAGGGTTGTTTCCTACTGTAACGTGGGTTTTTTCCTCCATCTACCTCGGCTGCACTCACAGTATTCACGATTTCAGTTTGACATCTGGGCAGATGCTTTAACACCCCCCGCCCCGTTCCCTCTCCGCTAATATTTAATCCCCCCTCCCAGCCCTCCTTGTTCCCGACCCTCCCATTTAAAGTGTTCTGGCTCAGAAACTAATTCATTTCAACGCCCCCCAAAGCCCCCCCGCAGACCCCCGCTGCTGCTGGGGCCCCCTCTCCGGTGCCAGCCCCGCGCCCGATGCCCCGTCCATGGGCCGCGGCTTCCTGGCGAGGAGGAGCAGGAAAGTCTTCTTCCTCTCCAAGGTTTTCCCAGTGTTTCCCACCGCTGACTTTTTTTTTTTGTCGAGGCGACTCCGTTGGAATATGACAGACGTGGTTTTCTCACCCCGATTGCTCCTGGGTTTGGTTGATTTTGCGTTGGGTTTTCTGCTTTGGTTCTTCATTGGGTGTCTGAAGAAAGTCCGCATCCTCGCCCACTCCATGAATCCGTTTAGCACACGTGAGATCCCAGGAAAAGACACTGAGTCCTTGTGGTTTTGTGTGTAAAGGGGGATTAGCAAATCCTGGACTGTTTTTTTTCTTAAAAAAAAAAAAAAAAAAAAAAAAAAGTGAAATAAACTCTAGAGGCAGAGGATTTGCTTTTGCACAGAAAAGGGGCGCGAGCGCTCTCTGCTGCCTACAGAGATGCTGGAAAACTACTGAAAAGAGTTTGGGAACTTTTATTTTTTCTTTTGGTGAAACTTGGATAACACTTCTCAATGCAGAACGATTCACTTGACGTACGTACACTCACCCGCCTTTTATAGGAGATATATATCCCACCGTATATATCTTTATAAAGGAAAGGGAGAAAGCAGAGCGAGCCACCCGAAGGCGCATTTTGAAGTGACTGCACGTATAATCGCAAATGCTGCTTTTTTATTGCTATGGCACAAGAACATCCATTTGGAAAATGCGGAAAAGTTCAGAAGTCTCCTTTCTCCTGCTGGTCTTTCAGCCCTCTTCTCGTCTGCACTAAAGCCATCCGTGTCACTGCCATCTCCCTGCTTTTTCCTCTCTTGCTCCCTGCATCCAAACCATTCTGATTAAAAAAGAGAAAAGAAAATAGTTACCTGCTGGTTTATTGGGGTTGTGTCTTACCTATTTATCATGTCTGTATATATTTGTGGGTGAAGATTGTGAGCCTGGTTTTGTTTGAAGCTGATGGTGAGTGTTTCAAAAATATGGTTTGGGATATATGCCCTTTTTTTGTTCATTTTTTCTTTTCCTAGTCTTAAAACTAAAAAAAAAAAGAAAACAAAAAAATAGAGTCTGCCCTGATTATTTCCCATTGCACTGAATATTCTGCTTTGTCTCTGATAATTTCACCTGCAGTTGTTTGCGTTTTGTTGGGTTTTTCATTTGTTTTTGTTCTTCTTCCACTTCAACAATTTGAGATGGTTTAAAAAGCTCTAGATTTAAACAAGAAAAAAAGCCCTGTCAAAAGTGTCTACTGTTATTGCTGTAATTTGCAAGGAACTGCTTGGCCGAAGTCTTTCTGTGAGCATGGAAGGAGTGTCCAGCACTTCCACTGGTGCTTCTGTGCGGTAGTTATGGGGTGGGAACAGGACCTTTCCTAGTGAGGTTTTATCGTTGTTACCAGATGGTTGCACATTATTTTTTTTTACGTAAATGGATTTGCCACAATGAAATGTCATAACATTTATGACATGATATTAAAAAGTGTATTGTAAAGCCAAGTTCTAGATGGATTTTTAAAAAGAAATCTTGGTTATAAACCCAGTCTAAAGGGAGCTCTGTCCAGTGTTGTAAAGACAACATGATGTAACCCATATTTATATTTTTATAAAATACCTATTAAGACTGTGAATCTCCTGTGTGAATTGCTGGGTGAGTTGTTTAAGAAAAGTATTGTTCCTTTTCAGCCTCCTGGAGCTTTAGACACGCTGAGATTTTTGGGAAACTGTACGTCGGGGAAGGGGGTTTGCTCTGAAATTGTGAGTTGATGTATTTTTACATCCCTTTGTATTTTACTGAAAAGCTGCTGCCCTTCCTAGTCCCTAGAGTTTCAATTTTCTATGCAACCCCCACACCCCCGTCTCTCTTGATCCTGAGAAGTAAAAGGGATGCAGATTGATTCAAATTGAAATGAGGGTCCCCCCACCCCCCTTGTTGGCTCATCGTGCTGCTGACCCTTCACGCCAAAACGGGGAGTACAAGGAAAAAAAAAAGAGGCAGGTGGGGGAGGCTGTTTTGTGCATGACTGGTTGCCTTCCAGCAGTCATCTTTTTAATTATTATTGTTATTTTTCTAAGAAGAATATATTGATAATGTCAGTGAAATAAGCAGACATTGAAGCTGATGCACAGATTGCTCCAGAAAGGAGTTTTTCTGTAGATTTTTCTTTAGATGCAAATACCTTTTTTAATTATGTTAATTAATGTTAAGAATTTTTAGGCTTATATTGAAGCTGTATGTGGGTCACTATATGATCATTTCTAACTGGATAAAGTCTGTACAGTACAGCATATTCCTGAGTGTATGATATAGACGTGTAGCCCCAGAGTGCGAAATTTATAAATAAATTTTTCATTGATCTTTTTATAAAAAAAAAAAGGTTGTTTTGTTTGTTCTTTTCCACGTGGTTTTTGGTCGTGCTGGGTGTTTGCTGTTGTGGGGATGGCTGGCTGAGACCCCAGGTGTCTCTTCTGGTGTCAAACCTGCAGCTGTTGTGGGTTGGAGGCACCCCTGGAGGCTGGGCTGGGTTTGGAGGGAGGTGTGGCTCCTTCCCACAGGCTGGAGGGAGTCCCCTGGGCTCAGGGCTGTCCTGGTTTGCCCCATCCCAGCTGCTAGGGGGGAGCTGACTCAGACCGAACCCTGGTGCTGGATGGGCATGTGCTGTTTGAGATGTTCCTACAGAAGCTCCTTGTCCCCAGGGAGTGAGGGGAGAGCTCACAGCCCATCCTGGGATGGGGGATTTGGGGTGCATTTCTGGGGCTGCAGCCCCAGCCTGTATGGCTGAGCACCCCACAGCTCCCTGTGAACATTCTCAGCATTTTGATTCCAGTCTGGGCCCCTCAGGCTGTGGGAATGGGGTCAGTGATGTCTTCAGTGCCCCAAGGAAGGGGCAGAGGGTGAGGCTCAGCGTGGCCCCTCCATGCCCAGAAGCATCTGTGTCCTCTGGCACAGCTCAGAGCAGAGCAGTGCCCAGCAGGGCTGTGCCCCTCTCAGGAGGCTTTCCTGGCAGACCAGAGGCAGAGGGGCAGGGCAGAGAGGCAGAGGAAAAGGGCAGAGGGGCAGGAGCAGAGGAGAGGGGCAGAGGAGAAGGGCAGAGGCAGAGGAGAAGGGCAGAGGCAGCCCCGGCCTGTACGGCCGGGCCCTGCCCGAGGCCGGGCCTTTGAGGGCACCATGCAGGCAGGCCTCCCTTGCTGGCACTGCTAGGGGGTCGGATGAGGCTCTTTATCAATGATTCTGCCAGCTCTGCAAATGCCTAGATCCCAGGGAAATTTGTGCTGTGCTCAGTTTGGCTCCGGGTGCAGGTTCCCAGGGATGCAAGGAGTGGCATCCTGCAAACATAGTGTGTGGGGGGGGAAACCTGGAGAAAAGGCTCAGTGTGACCTTTCCAGGTTGGCCAAACTCCACTCCAATGTGCCAAGCCCTGTGCCATCTGCTGCCAGCACGGGCCAGTGCCTGGCACAGACACAACTGGTGTCCCCAGGTGCGCTGGGGACATGCAACCACCCAGGCAGCAGCCCAGTGTAGATAATACAGGCACCAAGTGACCCAGATGGACTGAGCACGAGAAAAGAGATTATGCCAAAACCATCAGTCACAACCACTGGTGGTCCTGGAGTTCCTTCACCCAAGGTCCTGCGGCAGCTGCTGACTCCAAATCTGTTGGGAGTGTGGGGTGAGCACCACTTACCTCCCCAGGTGTGGCACTGTGTGACATTGACCACCAGCCTCTGCCACCAAACCTCACAGTGGCTGTGTTCCCCAGGGCACGCGGGGTTACACCTGCGGGTGGAAATAATCTCAGCCTCATCCCTTTGCACTTGGAATGCTGCAAAACCTTGTCCTGGCACCTGCCTTGGGATTTCACAGAGCTGGGTTCACGTGGCTCAGCTCAGCCCTGCAGCTTCTGATCTTCACCTTGTCCCAGGGCCCCAGAGAGCTGGGCTGGGCCAGCCACCACCTCAAGAACGGGTTTTTCTGGAGGAAGGCAGCATTCCTGTGTGTGGCTCCTCTCCCTGCTGTGGATGGGGTGGTCTCCAGCAGCCCCTTATTTGGGCACCCCCCTGGAGCCAAGCCCAGCAAAGCCCCTCTGTGTTCCCCACATGTGACGGCCCCGGCAGTGGAAATGTGCTGAGGACACAGCTGAACCCCAAACCCATGGCAGCAGCTGCCCTGGTGCCAGGCTCCTCCCAAGGCCCATGGCCACCCCACTTTGCAGCTTTCCTCACAGAAACCCCATCCAAGGAATCTAGGAACTTCAAAGACTTGATTTTTTTACCCTCTTGTTCTTTTCCTTTTCTATTTTTGTTCCAATAACACAAAAATATTGGATGGTTTGATGGTGTAAGCACATTCTTCTGGCATTTTTGCCTGTCCCTGGCTGTGTGTCATTGTCCATCGGCCGCATTACGTAGGTGCTGTTGTTCCAAGAGAAACCAAAGCAAGAATTTGAACTTTCAAGTGCTTCCTGCCATTGTCTTTTGCTTTTGTTTGTGCTGCTGACTCCAAACCAGATGGATCGGGCTCCCCTCCGGCTGGGGGGCAATGGGAAGTCAACACAGCCCAGCGAGGTTTGACAGCTTTGTCTTCTCTTCTGTTGCCCTTCATCCGTCAAGCCCGGCCATCGGCACAGAATCGGCCGTCACATATGGATGTGGGGGAGGAGGTGGGATTTTATTTGAATTTCAGGGAGCTTAACACAGGGAGTAAGTAATGAATGAGAAAGAAAGACAGCGAGCGGGCAAGCAAGAGGGGACAGGCTGTAATCAAAATTCAGGACATTTTAAATAGATGCTTTGTTGGGCATTTGTATGACTATGATAATGCCGCAGCCCAACGGCCCAAAGAGGAGTTACCTTTTTTAACAAAAAAGAATCACAATCAACTTCTGTTCGGTGTCGGCGAGGAGCCGGTGGCTCAGGCTGCCTAGCCAGGCTGGCCTCATTTCCAAACATCAGAATGTTTTGCCTCTTATCAAGGCATTCTGGGCTCCATCCCTGTGGATGGATGGAAGGATGGATGGATGGATGGATGGATGGATGGATGGATGGATGAAGGATGGATGGATGGATGGATGGGTGGATGGATGGATGGATGGATGGATGGATGGATGGATGAAGGATGGATGGATGGATGGATGGATGGGTGGATGGGTGGATGGATGGATGATGGATGGATGGATGATGGATGGATGGATGGATGGATGGATGGATGGATGATGGATGGATGGATGGGTGGATGGATGATGGATGGATGATGGACGGATGGATGGATGGATGGATGGATGGATGGATGGATGGAGGATGGATGGATGGATGGATGATGGATAGATGGATGGATGGATGATGGATGGATGGATGGATGGATGGATGGATGAAGGATGGATGGATGTATGGATGGATGGATGGATGGATGGATGGATGGTCAGCAGCACCAGGCTCCTCAGCACATTGTGCAGGACAGGACAGCTGATGGTTTCAGCCTGTTTTTGCTGCTGACACAAAGCTGCTGCAGTATTTGGTGCTGGGACTGAGTGGGATAGAGGTCCTATCCCCCATATCCATCCCAGGTCATCCTGTTCCTGCAGCATAGAGTAATTATTTGCTCTTCTTGGGGTGCACATGAGCTTCATGCACTGCTATGGGGTGAGCATGGTATTTTCGGTGCCATCCCCCATGCCCTGAAATCACTGTCTCTCCACAGATCCCCATGCTTGGAGGACTGTGTCCTCCCCAGGATGTTCCCAGCACGGTGTAGGAACATCCAACAAGGAGATTGGAATTGGGGGCAGCTCCAATTACTCCTTGGTGCAGCAAGTGCTCCCCAGGGCACATGTCATGCCCCCAGGAATGACGCTGCCCCATTGTGGAGAAAGGACAAACCTCATCCCAAAACCCCTGCAGCTGTGGTGTTCCTCTGCCACCATGAGCACCCATCTGAGGGTGCCCAGGGAGAGGTGACCTCTGAGTCTCACCCTGGATGGGACACAGACCTGTAGGTTCAGTGGAATTTTTGGCTTTTTAACAGGTTTCTCTTCCTGGGGAGAAATGGTCAAGCAGGACAACATCATGGTTTGTCTGGTTTTGGGGAAAACAGTGGATGGGGTTAGGATCTGGAAGGATGGAAGGTGCTTGGCTGGAGGGATTGAGGGATGGCAGAGGACCTGGGGGGATCACTGGGAACATGGGGGGTAGGAGAATGCAGGGAGAGGG